CTACTATATTATACCTATCCGACGAGTACCTACGAGAATATAATTTAATAACTTCGAGTATAAAGTCTACTATTTCTACTATACTAAAGATAACTATAGCTATAAGCGTATAATAGACTCCGATATTATTATATAGGCTACTTATATTCGCGAGTATCGCGTTAAGCTTATACTAGGCTAGCGCGTAGTATACGCTATATAGATCGACTACTATATTACTTATATTAGTAAAGCTATTAATATAGCTCTTAAGGTCTAATAGGCTAATAAGTCTAAGTATACTAGTCTCTTTAAGATACTTAAGAAGAATATAAGTATCGCGCTAGCCTCGAGTAGTAGTAGCGCGCTCGAGCTTACTATATATAGTAAGTAGCTAGCGCTCTCTACTAAGCTCTTTAAGCTTAAGTATAAGGTATATACTACTTTTCTAATACTAGTTAGCTATTCTAGGAGTTATTTCGACCTACTAGTTACTTACTTATTTTATATACTACTAATACTTTTATTAGTCTCTTCGTCTATATAGCGCCTCTACTACTACTCTCGATCTCGCTATCTACTAGGTCTTTAGCTATCGTACTCTATACTAGAAGGAGGAGAATAGTTCTAATATAGAAGCCTTTTTCGAGAAAAAAAGTAATAAAAAGAAGAATAAGAAAAAGAAAAATAATAGCGAGTAGCCTACTTATATCTCGCTTCTTTTATATACTACTCTTATAGTAATCTTACGTCTCGCCGGCCTTAGACTATATATTTCTATTACGTATAGTATACGCTATACCTATAAGTACTATAAATAAATAATTTCTTTTCTTTTATAATATTTTAGTTTTCTAAATTCTCGTATCTTAGTAGTACTTAGTAGTTAAGTTTAGAGTTCTTAGAATTCTCTACTACTCTACTAACTACTAATATTACTATTTCTTCTATAGTTTCGCCTTATATATATACTATATACTTTCGCGTTACGTTTCGAATATATTAAGTATCTTATAATCCTTAATATATTCTACTAGCTTCTAAGTATTATATTCCTCTAGCTATCTACGCTATCGAACTAGATACTTCTTTACGTCTTTCTCTACGTAGCTTTCTAGTATTCTCTCGACTTTCTATTCGCTTTACTCGTCTACGAGTAGTAGGCTAGTATCCTATATATTACTACTTTACTAGAGTTCTAAGAAAAATATATAGAAGATATTATAAATCCGCGAGCTAGTTAGTAGAGCTAGATAGTACGCCTACTTTCTAACTATATTAATAACTTTAAATAGTCTAGCGAATTTATTTACTAGCTTCTTTAATAGTACTTTTAACTAA